GCACTACAATCCTTGATCTCTAAATAAACAGAAAAATATAGAAGACATTTAGTTGTATTGACATCACTGAAGTCCTTCATCTTATTCTGAGTTTTATGCTACATTTCACATAATTATGTGTCCCAAAAATATTTTAAGTTGTATGTTGTTGTTAGGTGCTGTGGTAATATACTAATGGAAATATCTACTAGATTTTCTTTATATTTTAATATAAGCTAAAAAATGGAAATTGCTTCACATTCTGGGAACTCAAATGCTTTACAAAGATGTAAAAACAGACTGTTAATTATACACCTGACTCTCTCTTAGAGGTACCTTGTTTAACCTGATGTACAGAGAAAAGAATATTTGGTTAAATTAAAACATTATTTAATATCAATGTATATTTGTTGAGAGAATATTTTTAATCAAAATTATTTAAGTATATGCTTTGAGTATGTATTTTTAAAACTGTGTAGCTACAGAGTTGGATAATTTACAGAAAATGGCAAAATCGATAACTTATAACTTAAATGGAAAACTCTTATAACTTAAATGGCTAAATCAATTTTCAGTGTGAAATCAATCAACCAAATCAACCTTACTTTTTGTCTGAAAAAATTGACCATAACTTTTTAATTCCAATAAATGTATCAAAGTGTATCCACCTGACAATCACTTCTGAATCATTGAGGATGAGAGCTCATCCTATTTCTCCACTCATCTTTTTTTTAAAAAACATGCAAGTTCACAATTTGGATTTACTATTTCTCATTTTAATAGCAATATCCTATGCTACATGGAAATCAAGACTTTTAATAATCAAAAATTTGTGAATAAGTGTTTACAGATTGCAGGAGAAGTCAAAGTGCAATGTGAGCGACCACCCTCACGTCTACACTGCAGAAAAACACTCTTCCCAGAAACACTGTTATACTATCCTCAACAAAACCCCAAATCAACTTGGATAAAGGCACTCACAGTTGAGAACATTTCCTAGACAACACTTAGCAAGCTAATGGCAAACACATTATTAACTGAGAACAACTGGAAACAACTCTGACTTCATAGGTCTAAATGCATATATTTTATCTAAAAAAAAAAAAAAAAAATTCACCACAATTTCCTTAACAATGATTTCTATCATTTTTCTACAAAGGACTGAGAGGGTTTTCTGAAAGGGATAATCAAATAACTAAAAAATGAATTTGATAGCTAATAAATTTTATCTATGAACAATATACTAGGTATTACAACTTTTCTAAAGTTCTCTTTCACCTCCCTACTAATTTGTGCATGGTTTCTAAAAACAACTTTAAATGGCTACAGAAAATATTACATTTATTTACATTTTTACAATTCCCTTTGCTATTCTCCTAAAAAAAAACTAAATAAATAAAATAACAGATAACCTTCCATGACCTTAGAAGTGTGTCAGACGTAAAGGAAATAAAAGAAAAAAAAAAAATTTTAGTTGGAAACGTTTATATTCAGTTTAGAAATTTTGATCCTTTGAAGAAGCCAGAGAAATGAGAGACTGCATTTTTCTTTTACTTCTAATTATTTGGAAATGCAACATATTTTAACATATAAAATTACTTCAGTGTTTGTAATGTTGTGTTTTTTTCCCCTTAAAGTTTCATTATGTACATTTCTTTGTAAATATGTTATTGTTGTTAGCTGCCATTTAGATAGTCCCCAACTCATGGTGGCCCCAAGCACAACAGAACAAAACACTGCTCAATCATGTACCATCTTCATGATAAGTTAGGATCAGACTGTTATCACTCATTGGGTTTTCACTAGCTATTTTTCAGAAGTAGATGCCAGGTCTTGCTTTCCAGTTTGTCTCAGTGTGGAAGCTATCATAGCAGCAAGAAAGTCTACACTGACAGAGAGATGGTGACTGCCCATGAGGTGTGATGGCCAGGAATCAAACCCGAGACTCTCACATGGAAGGGGAGAATCCTACCACTGAACTGCTAATGTCCTCATTCTTCATAAACATACTTCCTTTTAATTATATTAGTTATAGGAAGTGAGATATGATGTGTGCATAGCAAATATAAGGCATATACATTTCTATGCCCCTCACCCATTGCTGACACAGCTAATCAATCATGCCCTTCTTTGCCACTGAGCAGCTCTGACTTCCTGGGCTCAAGGAATCTTTTGGCATCAGGTGGTGCTGGCACACAGGTTGAAGCTGATTTCCCATTCTTGGTGTGAGAGTAAAACTTAGGGGCAGCATGGCCGTCCTCCCTATTTACCAGCTACCACCTCTTAGAAACAGCTTTTAGTCTCCTCTGTCACCTTCACAGGACTGTTACACAGTCAAAAGATTAATTCTCGTGAACACACTGCAAACCACGCAGTCCCAAACATACACTGTTTGAAGAAATCAGATTAATTCTTTTGTAATGTGAACACCATCTCCCTAGTTGATCTCCTCCTTTCCTCTACCCAAGCATATCTATTTTATCTAGTTGACAAGTGGGAATTTTTTTAGATTTTGGTTTTATTAAAACTGCACACCTCTATGCTCCTTTTGTGCGCAATTATCTGATATCATCTACAGGAAAATGCTGTTGGAGGAGGGGAAAACTCGCAGTCTCACACCTGGCTCATCATTATGGTGTTCTGGCAGAGTCTTTTCTGCTCCGCTGGAGGCGGTGTGATTAATAGCCTCTCTTCCCAATTATATGGATATTATACTTGTCTTCCTTTGGCTGTCGGTTGTAGACATGTATGTGTGATGCAAATGTGGACTTTGCGAATGCTAATTTCAAAACCAGCCAGGAGTTGATTGGCAGAAAACCGAACAATGGTGAGATAGGTGTGCCAGGGTTCAGGAATCTGTGAAAGAAAGGTTGAGTGAGAGTGGAGAAGAGGAACTGGAGAGATTTGGAGTTAATCAAGACCGGTGGCCGGGATAGCAGCAGTTTATGAAAGCAGATCTAAGCCAAATATCCTGGAAGAAAGGGCAGTTTCAAAGACTCTTATGAAAACAATAAGAAGAGAGTTTAGCTGACAATGCAAAGAGCAAGATGGAATTAAGAAGCCAAGATTATGCTATGAGTTGTATAAAGCTGTATTCATTGTCATTACTGCTTCCCTGAAATGCGCATATTTGCACTGGGTTTGGAGCCTGAGGAACTTCGCCTCACATTTAACCACAACATCTTCAAGGTCAGGGACCCTGTCACTGTCTTTGTTTTCCTACATGTCAGCAGGGGACAAGCACTCAGGAAGTGTTCACTGAGCCAGAATAAACTGATCTTTAGATTGTTGGGGGCAAGGGATGATTTGGGTAACATGAAACGGAGGAGCAGAGAATTGAGATGCTATTTCAGCAATTAATCATGACAGCAGAAGTGATCAGAAATGACAATAGGAAAATTTATTTAAGCGGGGGTGGGGGAGGTTCAAATTATTCAAGATAATTTTGCATGACACTTTAAAACTCTAGTTAAGCTTTCTTCTTCTTTTTTTTTGCACAGGACATACTTTTAGTCCAAGATAGGCTAGACAGTAGCAAGCACAAAGAAAGTGTGCTGAAATTTCTCCACATAAGGATTGGGTACACTGCTGGCCGATAACTGACTCTCAGGTGTTTCACTCAGCACTGCAAAGGAAGAACAGGTGGAAGGGGGAGAGGTAAGATGCCACATTCTGTGATGGCTTGCTCAAAATATTTTCCCATTCTGTTGAGGGTAATGTAGATGGGAGCCAGGAGCTTGAAATATTGGTCACATCTGCTCTTAGGGACACATCTTCCATCTTCTTTGTACTCCGCCACCTTGCCTTTACAGATGGTTTTTACTTATTTAAAACTATTTTTTTCTTTGATCAGTATGTTAATCTCAATTTCATGTCAAAATTTTTAGAAAATTTCATTTGCCAAAATTTTAACTGGGGCTTAATGAATCTGTGTATATAGTTTCAACATAGATACACACACCACACTCTCACAAACATATGAAATGTACATATATACTTAATACCAAAAATATTTGTGTGAACTAATCAGCCTCATTCCACCCAGGTCCTGGGTTTTCAAGAATTGTGAAAGAGTTAATATTATTTCCAAAAAAATTAACTGAAGAAAGAGGTAAAAAGAAGATTCTATTTGCATTATTTCTTTCTAGCAATGCCCATCAATTGCAGATCTACATGGAGTTTAAGAAATATATACAGCAATCTGCACATATATGATCATCGATGTATAAGTGGAGATATGTATAAAAAGTTATTATAACTTATAAATCCTATAAGATTATACATTTAGCCTTAGTAAAAATTGTTCTTGAGAAGGTGAGGTTAATTACCTCTTTATTATAGGGATATAATGTAAAATAATATATTTTATATAGCATAGGCATATGATATACAAGTGTTATTTATAACTTTTCCTAACTCCTGGTAAAGAGAGGGTTCTTTATTGGCATGGTACTATGCAAAATGAGGACATGAATGTCTAGAAGCAGAATATATGGAAAAGCTTAATTGTTCTTAAAAAATGGGAGAGATGGTATAGAGGTGATGGGTGGTACATGGGGGAAATCTCAGAGGGAGGTGAGACAAATAGAGATGAGAATTCCCAGAGCAAGCAGAACAGCTGGAAAGACAGCTGGAGGGAGAAAATAAACACCAATTGAGGTCTTACAAATTTGAATATTGTAAAATGTTTGTTATGAAAATCCTCCAATCTTCCCTTCAGAATCTTTAGAAAAGTCTACTAAAAGCCACAATAATCAAATCCGGGCTGGGTGGACTTTCTGTATTAAATGTTGAAAGTATCAAAGTCTGTTTGCTGACTGCCCAAAAAGCATCAGCACACTCGATCCAGGGGATGGTGTGGTTTAACCTGACAATTTCCAATTAAACATGACAAGAATCAGAATAAGGCAAACAGGCCACTCTTTACTCATAGATTCCATCTGTGTGCAACAGAATACGCACAGTAATAAAACAATTCTAGACATTCTAAAAGGAGTGAGCGGTTGGCTGTCAACACTTACTGCGAGGACAATCTGGAGGGAACTATGAGCCACTTCTATGTACTGGTACTCCAGAAAACACCCTGAGACCGTGATGTAGCGATGGTCTTCTGGGGCCCAGTCTGGAGCGGGTGTCACTGACGTCACCGTACATCCTGGTCCATTCTCCATCCACCAAGATCGGTGCATTGAAATATTAAAAGTCAGGATAAGGTCTGTTTCCTGCAAGAAGGCAATTTATAAGGATGAGAATTACTTTATAAATGTGACCCAGATTATTTGGAAATGCCTTGCTTTGACTTTCCCACATGGAAATATAGTTTTTTTTTTTTTTCTCCCCATATATATTTTACAGGCAGAAAGAAAGCAACTAAAGTAAAACTATCTGTTCACCTGAGAATTAGTGTCAGTGGATCTCACTTCTCAAAGTGTGCCTGACTGTAATAATACAATGTTAATTTCAGAATAGACGCTACTTGGAGAACTACAGTGACTTTGGATGTTTTTTTTATTATGTGAGAGTAACTACAAAGGTAGGAAACCTGCCATTTAATTCATACACTGGTAACAGAGAAAACAGGGTAGGCTTGTGGGGGTAGTTAGGAGAAAAGGAATAATGTTTCCACTTCTTTCTCAGACTCTTAATCATAGAATTAATTAGTAACCAAGGTTAACTGGATAAGTCAATGGAACCTAAGAAGAAGAAGAAAACGGTACAAAAGGGTGATCAGCAAGAGATCGAGTCCTGAAGATAACCAGTCTTGGAGCAAACTGGTGAGAACCGGTTCTGATAATGTCTACTGTACATACCCCATGGTGAGAGTCTGTAAACCAGCCTCTCTTAGACAAAGCATGACTAACCACAGTTTCCATTTGGAAGAGTGGTAAAAAGGACTTACTGAGACCAAGATATTGGTTGCTTTATTGCTCCTCAGCACAGGGACCAGAGTCCAAAGCACTGGCAGTGAGAATGTGGCTTGTTATTTGGGGATCCCTGGATAGGTTCAGATAGGTCCCTATCCCAGTTTGCCCAGCACAGTGTCAGATTTTCTAGTGAGAATCCCACACCCTGGAAAACCTCTCAGACTTTGTCACTCTGGGATGGTTGGTTACCCTAGCTTCAGAGGTAACTTCAAAAAAGGTCAGCTTGCTGCCTTTTAGAGTTACAGTGAGGAGAAGTGTTCATTTATTTACAAAGTATATATATATATCCTAATGACGTCCCAAAAAGAGGCTTGTCATGATAAAGAACACACACCATTAAAACAAAGGTAAGGAATGAAAACCCCAAAAATGGAAACCAAGACATAAGTAGGTACCATTGGGCACTCAGATCACCTGGCAATGATGCGGATACAATGGAGACACCGAGAAAAGAAAAAAAAAAGATGTATATCATGCCTCTATGAAAATCTTTTTGTTTGTGTTTAATACTGATCTCTTAAGAGGAATTAACAATTTCATAAATAGAAATAATACAATATGAAATATATTTTATATAGAAATAATTTTATATAGAAATAATTACAATATGTTCACTCTAAACTCACTGCCATCGACTCGTTCCCGACTCAGAGACCCCTTCTTGGGTTTCTGAGGCAGTATCACTACAGAAGTAGATTGCCCAATCTTCCTTCCGAGGAGTGGATGGTATGGCCTTAAATTGAGTTTCCCCAGAAATTTCAAGAACATTAGCAAAGAGCTGTTCTGGCTGTTACAGACAAATGAACAGCCCTTACTTTCTCTTTCTAATATAAAACCAAAAAACCAAACTCACTGCCATCGAGTCAATTCTGACTCATAGTGTGACCTCCACTTGGTTCCTGAAGCAGTAAATCTTTATGGAAGTAGATTACTCCATCCTCCTTCTGTGGAATGGCTGGTGGGTTTGAACCTCCAACCTTCCCGGTAATAGTCAAATGCCTTAGGCACTGCACCAGAGTTCCTTCTTTCTAGTATTGGGAATAATAACTCCTAAAGATAATCTGGGAAGCTCTGGTAGCATAGTGCCTAAGGCACTTGACTGCTAACCAGAAGGCTGGTGGTTCAAACTCACCAGCCACTCCTTAGAAGGAAGATGAGGCAATCTACTTCCGTAGTGATACTGCCTCAGAAACCCAAGGCGGGGTCACTTTGAGTAGAGTCTGACTTGACAGTACATAACAACAACAACAACGATAATCTAATCCCCAGTGCTTGGATGACAAGTACTACATTTTATTATCTCAGACATTTCTTTTTCATCTTTTACTGTTATTTTTGATTTTTTGTGTATAATATTAAATATACATAGCTTAAAAATTTACAATTACCATAAGCTAAAAGTGAAAAATAGTGTTAAAATTTTGTACACCTCCTACTATCTGTTGAATGGTATCTGCTTTCAATTTTTAAAATCGAAAGTATGCATTTTTATTTGGTAAATGTTATCCTCATAATGACACACATTCATCATTTTATCATTATCTGTTGAGTTCCACTATGAAAGGTGTGAATTAGCATTTTTAGACCACATACTTCCCTCTCACTTCTCTATCATTCTGAGTAATTTTCTCCAAGATTTGGTTATGTAAATATTGTAAAAATTTATGACTACATAAGTACTTTTATGGCTGAGCCAAGTTGTGACTTATGTCTGCAATTCCTTTCTTTTATAACTTTTTGTTTTCTTTTGAGTTAATAATTCCCTCACAATTTTGTAGCGTTTATTTCTATCCATCTATCTCCCTATCTACCTACCAACCTAGCTACCTACCACTAATTCTTTTTTTTTGGGGGGGTGGTTAAAGAGAAGTTTTTATTCTGCGCTCCAGGGCAAGGTTTATGGATCCCTGAGAGGGGCCCGAGAAGTCGCCCCACACAGTGGGGGGGTGGGGAGAGGTTTATATAGTTGCATAGCAGACCTGAGTGGGGGCAGAAAAAAAAAGGCAGGAACCAATCAGGTGAAAGCACCTTATTAGCATAGTCATTAAGGGAGGGGGGAGGACCCATGCTGGTTCAAAATAAGGCAGGAACCAATCAGGTAGACGCTGCATCTGGGTTGGCCTGTTTGTAGCTTCTTCCTGTTCAATCTTTTACCCGCCTGACTGTGGCTGCGTTCCCGCCTGACATTCCAGCCTTTTTGGTGATAAAAGGGTGATGTTATCATTCTGGCTACTTCCTGCTGGACAGGGTTGGGGTAGGGTTATAGGCCAGAGTCAGTGCGGATCGGGTCAGTCGGTAGGCTAGCGTATGGGTGTAGGAGTAACTGATTGACAGTACCTCTGGACATTTCTTTGAGCCAGTTTTGGAGGAATCTAAGGAGGCAAGGGGCTAAAAGAAAAAAAGAGACTTATTAGTACAAGAGGTCCTATAAGGGGTAGTAACCAGGCTGTTAGTGGTGATCAGAGCCATTCAAATGGTGAGGTTCCTGTTCGGTGTCTATTATGTAGTTCCTCACTCAGTCTAGTCAATATATTGATGTTTTGTTCCACCAGACCGGATTCATTGATATAATAGCAGCAGCATTCTTTAAGAAAGAGGCAAGTTCAACCTTTTTCTGCTGTTAGTAGGTCTAAGGCTCTTAGATTCTATAAAGTAACTTGACCTAAAGAAGTTGCTGCTGGAGGGAGGCCAGGGAATCTGTAGTGGTTTCAAGTGCTACCTCCAGACGGGTTTGAAAATCTTGGGTTGATATTATACTATGACCCAAGGCTCCCCCTGCTCTTCCTGCAGCTGCAAAAGCAGAGGTTAAACTGAGGCCCATCATAATAGGTAGAAAAGTAGCTCTTTTGGTTCTGGTTCCATGTAGCAGCCAGGAAAATTTGGATTCCTCGTATAGAGTGAGTTGGGGTACTATTGTTACTGGAAAGCAGGGGCCTGGAGTGGTGGAGTTTAAACATTTAGTTAAAGTTCCATTACACCAAAAGTGAGTGCCAGGTGTTGCAGAGGTATAGGACATGATAGAAATGTTCAGTGAGCAAAAGCTGTGCCCCAGTGGGGTAGATAAGGTGGTGCTGGTGAAAAAACAAACTCGGGAAGGATGTGTCTGGTTAAGGGTTTCAGGTTCCCAAAGAGGCACTTGTAGTCTACCACTAATTCTTCATTAACTGACCAATAGAAATTTAAGGACACATTCAATATTAATTTCTTCATGGTCCAATACTTCAGAATCAATCAGTTCATTTTCCTTTTGTTTGTTTGTTTTTCTTTTTCCTAGGGACATTTGATTTGGAATTCTACATGCTTCTGCCCCTGTCACACTCTATGTGTTTGATACACAGAGTGGTCATGGGTCTTGGTATAAATGAGCAAATGCATCTCCTAATGTCATTAGTTTCCTCTTAAGTAGAATCCCCATTGTCTTAGATGTCATGTCTCTTACTTGGTTTCTTCTCTTGTTTTGCAGACTACATCATTCAATGTTGTTGTTGTTGTTAAGTGCCATTGAGTCATTTCCGACTCAAAGCGGCCCCATGCACAGCAGAACGAAACACTGCCCGATCCTGCGCCAGCCCCACAATCCCTGCTATACTTGAGCCCATCATCGCAGCCACCGTGTCAATCCAT